ACGAGGTAGTCTTCAGGATTCGGCCGCAGCACTCAGGAGGAGCGCTGCAGTAGTCTTCAGCGCTAGGCAGGTATTAGCGCTAGCTGTAGTCTTCGGCGCTGGGCGCCATAGCTGTAGTTGTAGTCTTCAGCGCTGGGCGCTGGTAGGTGGTAGATCGTAGAGTGGGAGAGAGACTGGCGGAGGCCAGTGGGACTTGCCTGTGGCGCCATCGCTCCAGCTCCATCTTCGTGGTACCTGCATCAAGGCGCCAACTTCACAGGTTAGTACTGGACACAGAGAGAGAGAGAGTTCTTCTTCTTCCTCTTCCAAGTTCACCTTCTCTTCTCACCCTCTCGCCACTTGACTCCTCAGACTACGACAGAGAGAGACAGAGTTGTGACTTGGGACTTGACGACATTGGATCCAGACTTGACATTTGGGATTCAGACATTTCGACGAGGCTATTTGGGCCAGCCTTGTGCCGAAGACTTGGTGTTGACGACATTCCCATCTTCCCCCTCCTCTTCGTCTATCCCCTTCCTCTTCGTCTCTGTATGGTATGGGCTGGCGCAGTCTTCCTGTGTGAAGCGCCAGGCCCATTTCACACCATGTAACGATGATGATGATGTATGTTCAGGGCTGCATTGCAACATTGATTGTTCGGATCACTGGTATCTAAGTCTTCCATTGTGCTATCTTATACTTTGTATTGAAAGGTCGGTTCTTGTTCTGGTCTGCACGTTACAGTATGCAACAGTTTGGTATCGGAGCGGACCTCTCATTCAGAGGACCCGCTCCATCAAGTAGCCAGCTTGCGATCTATTGATCACTCATTAGTAACGCAAGTAGGACTTAGTCAAATCTCTGGAAAAAAAATTCTCGCAACAACTATCTGAAAATTTCTGATATTCGCATTTTCGTTCTATCTGAAAATTTCTGATATTAGTAGTTCGTTTTTACGTGACAAATATCTGAAAATTTCTGATAAATCGCATTTCGTTTTGTCTGAAAATTCCCGATAGTAGCATTTCGTTTCTCTGATATTTCGCATACATAGCTGAAATTTCTGTAGTTAGTATTTTCGTTCTCTAGGCAKATTGGGATAACGATAGAAGTGGTCATATTCTCGGAAACTTAAATTATTCTTTTCTGAAAATCGCATTTCCATTCTATCTCGCAAAATTTTTCTTGAAAACCGAATCTTGCGAAGCCTACCAATATTGCGTTAGGCATATTCGGAGGTTGCTATATTCTCAGAAACTGGATTTCGTTCTTTTCTGAAAATCGCATCTTTACTCCATTTCGCAAAAAAAAAAAAATCAAGATCGCAATTTGTAAAAAGCCGAACTTTGCGGAACCTAGCCTAGATCTCGTTCATAATACTCTTCTGACATATCCTACTCATCATAGATCGACAGATATGCAAAAAAAAAAAGAAAAAAAAAAGGAAGTAGTCMTCTTTTATTTTTTATTTTATTTTATCTGTTGATTAGGGCCGGAGGAAAGATTGTTGGGTTGGCTACCTACCTCCGTTTTCCCTCCCACCCACCCCTTGCATGCATCCCGGTTCGGTACAGTGCCACATCAGCAGTGCCACGTCACAGTGCCAGATCAGCAGTGCCACGTCAGCAGTGTCACGTCACAGTGCCAAGTCACAGTGCCACGTCAGAAGTGTCAGATCAGCAGTGCCACATCAGCAGTGCCAGGTCACAGTGCCACGTCAGACAGTGCCACGTCAGCAGTGATGTCAGACACAGTGCCACTGAAGCAGTGCCACATCAGCAGTGCCACGTCAGACACAGTGCCACGTAAGCAATGCCACATCAGCAGTGCCACGTCAGACACAGTGCCACGTAAGCAGTGCCACGTCAGACAAAGTGCCACGTCAGCAGTGCCACGTCAGCAACATGACGGGCCTGCCAGGCCAACAGGCCAATGAGCCCATTGCTGACTACAAAAAGCGTGTCCATGCTCAGCTCGCTGCAATCGAGGCTGAGGAACAACGCCAGCTGGCAGTCGAGGCTTCCCAGCTACAGGTTGATGAAGCGGCAACAGCAGAGAAGCTGCGGCTACAGGCCAAAGCAGACGCAGATGCCCAGGCTCGCCGCAAGGAAGCCCAGGTTCTGCTGCAGCGGCATGAAGCCAGCAGCATCGAGAAACTCGAGTACTTGCATTTTGAACCGAACGGCGACGAGCCAACATCGGAAGAGCAACATAAGAAGTTCATGGCCAAGCTCGTGAGCAGGTTGGTTTACACATGTAACCACCTACAGTCCGAGCTGACAAACCTCCAGCGGGCCGTGCGGAACCAAAACACTCAGCACGAGGATGCCATACGGGCACTGGACGCCCGTGTACATAACTTGGAACAAGTTCCACCAAGACAAGATGCTGGAGCTTCCAGCAGTGCGTCCTCTAGCCGCCAACTGGAGGAACGCGTTGACCACGTAGTGGCAATGCTCGGCGACATCAGCACCTTCGCTGCGCCGACCACCGTCAGCAGTCAGCTGCATACCTTGAAGACCGAGTTCCTGCAGCTGCAGTCGACGAACGCGGATGATAATCCGAAGATGTACACGATGCCAACTTTCCAACTGGACAAGTTCGACGACTACACACAACAGGATCCGGTCCTCTGGTGGGAGGCATTCACAACGCAACTCAGGATTCTGCCTGTCGCCAAGCACGCGTACATCGGCGCCCTGTTCCTGAACTCAAAGGGCGGATGCCAGACCTAGTTGAGCCACCTGGCAACCTCTCATGGCGTCGACGTACCAGACTTGAACGATAAAATCACATGCGAGGAACTGACACGGCTGTGGAAGAAGCGGTTCATCGTCGACGACGTGCCAGCTCTTGCCATCAACCGTCTGTTCACCATGTCACAGGGCAACACCGCAACACCGGATTGGCTCACGGAGTGGCAGAAGATTGTGGTGGTGCCCAATCTGGAATTGGCATTCACGCATCTACGCCGTGAGTTCTACAACAGGTCCTGTGCTGCATTGAGCTAGGCTTTTTGTGATCGCGAGCAGTGCTCAACCTTTACCGAGATTATTGACAAAGCAAGGGAGATCATCAAGACCAACAGGTCAGCTGCACACGAGAAGTCACCATGGCAGCCGACCTATGTGGAGAAGGTACGAACTGGTCCGCGACAGCAGCACTTCGCTGCAATCCAGCAGGACAGTGGAGATAACCCAGCAGCCACTCCAGCATCAAGTGACGGAGATCAGGTGGCTGCTATCCAGCCCCGAAGCAACAACAAGTCCTGCAACAATGGGAAGGCGAAATCCGCATCGCAGGCAGGAAATGGACAGCCAGTACAAGTTTCATGGGTCAAGTTCGGCTTGACTGAGGCGGAGTACAAGGTCCGCGGCCGCTACGGCAGCTGCTATTGGTGCAACAGCACCAAGCACAAGACCTCCCTGTGCCAGGATCAGGGCAAGGAGGATGTGCGACCCCGCCTCAGCTCGGGAAACTGAGCTCCGCGGAAGGTGAGGCGACTCCACCTTCTACTCCGCCAGATTCGGCCGCCWTGCTAGCGGCCTCCTGCACATCTGGGGAGAACGCGAATGTTGCACGTTCTCGTTACACTTACGAGGACTATGCTGTCCACTTGGTTCCACCGCTGGACCAACCGCTCCACGTGCAACAATCTACCGCATGCACGGTTTCAACACCATCGGCAACCGATTCGGCAGCTTCGCCGCCATCTATTGCTGGGGATTCATCGTCGTGGTCAAGACTTGAGGTGCTCGACCCATTGACGTTTACGGACTTCCAGTGGATGCCCGTTCCCCCGAACGGACGATTGTCGAAACCGCATTGCAATGTGCTCATGGCACAACTGCGAGATTACTTGCACACTGCAGTACCGACTCCGTTGATGGCGACCTTCACGTTTACATCGCGAAGATCGACCGCGAGTTCAAGACGCAATGGTACGACGACATCGACGCACCATTGCTATACGTACGCATTCAGATCGGAGAGGCGACCTGCAGTGCCTTGATCGATTGTGGAGCATCTCGCAACTACATCAGCCAGGACTTCATGGTGCGCGCCGGCCTTGGCCCACGCGTCCGAAGGAAGCCCCAGCCTACGCAAGTCACATTGGCGGACGGTCACACGCACAAGTCAATCGACCGGTGCATTGACAGCGTCCCAGTGTACTTTGCCCCTCACGCAAGTGAGGCAGTGTCCTTTGACATTCTGGACACCAAATTTGACATGATCTTGGGCATGTCATAGCTGCGAAGCAAGGATCACTCGGTGAACTTCTTCAACCGCACCGTTCACATGCTTACAGGAACGGAGTACTAGTTCAATGCACGGTGCCTCTTCCTCATCCTTCGATCAGCTGTCACGTGGTATCCGTCGCAAGCATGCGAGCTTCCACCATCAGAGACGACATCGAGGAGATGGGGGGGTGTTTTCTCCACGCCCTCCCGCCCCATGACGCTTCATCGACGGACTCACCTTCGGATCCACGCATCACCGAACTTCTCGACGCCTACAGCGACGTGTTCGAAGGCCCGCAKGGAGTAGTACCGGATCGACCCATCCGCCACGAGATCATCCTCGAGGACGGGGCCGTACCTCYGCGCGGTTGCATCTACCGAATGAGCGAGGAAGAGTTAAGTGTGCTTCGGGCACAACTCGACGACCTTCTAGAGAAAGGCTGGGTTCGGCCTAGCTCATCGTCATACAGTGCTCCTGTTCTCTTCGTCAGGAAGAAGAACAAGGACCTGCGGTTGTGCATCGATTATCGCAAGCTCAACGCGCAGACGATCAGGAACGCCGACCCTCTCCCACGCATCGACGACCTTCTCGAGCGATTGGGCGGTGCCCAGYTCTTCTCTAAGCTGGATCTCAAGTCAGGGTACCACCAACTCGAGATTCGCAAGGAGGATCGCTACAAGACCGCGTTCAAGACACGGTATGGGCATTTCGAATGGCTGGTCATGCCATTTGGCCTTACGAATGCCCCAGCCACTTTCCAAGCGGCTATGAAGACGGAGTTCCGACACATGCTAGATCGTTTCGTACTTATCTACCTCAACGACATTCTGGTTTACAGCCGAAGTCTGGACGAGCATGTGGAACACCTGCGCACCATTTTGGAGCGGCTACGACAAGCCAAGTACAAAGCAGGACACGACAAGTGCGAGTTCGCACAACAGGAGCTGGAGTACTTGGGACACTATGTGACGCCGCAAGGCATCCGTCCGCTCGCGGACAAGATCGAGGCCCTACGAGTATGGCCCGAGCCCACCAACACCACGGACGTTCGTTCATTCATGGGATTGGCGGGCTACTATCAGCGATTCATCACCGGATACTCCAGGATTGTTGCACCTATGACGAGGTAACAGTCGCAAAAGGTGCCATTCGTATTCGATGACGACGCACGCCGGTCATTCCAAGCACTTAAGACGGCTATGCTCATGGCACCCGTCCTTAGCATCTATGACCCCACCCTGCCGACGCGAGTGACTACAGACGCTTTCGGCTATGGCATTGGGGCAGTCTTGGAACAGCACGACGGCGATGACTAGCACCCTGTGGAGTATTTCAGCCACAAAGTGCCTCCCATCAACTCGCTTGATGATGCAAGGAAGAAGGAGCTGCTCGCATTCGTGATGGCCCTCAAGCGCTGGCGGCACTTTCTCCTTGGGCGTCGTAGGTTCACATGGGTCACAGACAACAATCCATTGACCTAATATAAGACGCAGGACACGGTGAGCAGCATGATCGGACGATGGATGTACTTCATCGACCAATTTGACTTCACACCGAAACATGTCCCCGGCATCTCCAATAGAGCAGCAGATGCACCCTCGCGAAGACCCGATCTTTGCGCTATGACACATCATGCCTTCGCATTCGACGAGGAGCTTCAGCGACACTTCATCCGGGCATATCAGTCTGATACGGACTTCGGCACGCTCTATGCACAACTATCTTCGGATCACCCGCCGGCCAGCCATTACCGCATTGCCGACGGGTACTTGCTCCTCCACTTGAGAGGCAATGACTTACTATGTACCCCACGCGACTGTCGTCTTCGGACTCGCTTCCTCGGCGAGTATCATGATTCACGACTCGCCGGCCATTTCGGAGTCAACCGCACTATTGCACGGCTTCGACAGCGATTCCGATGGCCCGACCTCATTACCGATGTCACTCGGTATTGCGACTCTTGCGAAGTTTGCCGACGCAGCAAACCCCGCAACCGCAATCCCTACGGCGAGTTACACCCGATGCCTATCCCACGGGAACCCGGTCTCTCCATTGCCATGGATGTCACCGGTCTGTTTCCTCGCGACCGGCTCGGGCACGACGGCATCCTCATGGTTGTGGACCGATTGAGTAAGCACGCGAGTTTTCTCCCTTGCAAGTACTACTCCACGGCTCCCGAGCTGGCACGCCTCCTGCACATTGGTTGGATTTGTGGCCACGGAGTACCAGAAGACATTGTCAGCGACCGCGGCACTCGTTTCATGCTGGCGTTTTGGACTGCTCTCAGGCAGGAGTCCGGCACAATAATGAAACCAATTTCGGCTCGACATCCTCAGACAGACGGGCAGACGGAGCGGGCACATCAAACCGCTCAAATGATGCTTCGTACACTCATCCTTCCGGACCTGAAAGATTGGGTTGACCGCCTCCCCGACATCGAGTTCGCCTACAACACTTCGGTGCATCTGGCGATCGGTGTGACTCCATTCGAGTTGCACCACGGTGGACGGAAAGGTCGTATCTTCGCCGACCTTCTCCTCCCTCGACCAGCCGACAATGACGCTGCCTGCTCTCCCGCTTCCATTCGGAAGTACAGGGAATTGCTGACTCAAGCCCGCGCAAATATGCAAAAGGCTCAAGTCCGCATGCAGCAGCAAGCCAACAGGCGTCGCGTACCATGTCCCATCCACGCCGGCGATCTGGTTTGGGTCTCTGCGGAAGAGTTTGCACTGGAACAGGATGTTTCACGCAAACTGCTTCCCAAGTGGTTTGGACCTTCACCTGTGACAGCAGCTGCGGGCAATGAGCCCGATGGCCCTTCATTTGTGATCAACATTCCAGAGCATTTGATGGTCCATCCGGTCTTCCACGCCTCGAGGTTGGCCACATACACGCCAGCCAAGAGCGACGACTTTCCGGACCGACGATCGCAGGACCCTCCTTCTATGGATGGCCRTCAGGAAGTTGACCGCGTCATCTCCGATCGCAAGTACGGCAGCAAGCCGCGGCAGTACAAAGTCACATTCAAATCATGCGATCGCGACGACACTCGGTGGAT